CCTTCAGCCAAATCCACAATATCCCAGGTATGGTTCTTATGCAAAGCATCCAGTTCAGTCATCATAGCATCCCTCCATTCAGGTTTAGATAGGGCTTCTGGTACAGACTTGGGAATCACATGGGAAGAGACAAAGGCAAGAAAAGAGTAATAGGGAGGAGATAGAAGGCTATAGAACAAGTGTTTAGAGATACAATGTGTTGTACACTTCCGCTTGCCTTTATGAAGGGCAATAGGAAGATCAAGGTCTGGGAAGGAAGTAGGTGGGTCATAGGAAGGCTGACTTGTTACCACAATAATGATGAGAGGTGCAAGAGGCTCTGCTGCAGGAGTGAAAACAACTTGCCCATGCCCGAATTTGTGTCTTTGGTACCACCTTTGGAGAATAGGAAGTGAAGGAACTATAGGAGGATGGGGTGTAGGAACACCTGAGGTAGACACAATGGGAGGAGAGGACAACTCAGCAGAGGACTCAAAAGGAACTGGAAGAGGAACAATTGGAGACATAGCAAAAGGTTCCTCAGATTGCTCCCCCTCAGAAGAAATACTAAAGAAAGGAGTAGACTCGACAAATATGACATCCCAAGAGACAAAGCGAGTGACACCCATCGAATCAAAACAACAATATCCCTTCTGTGTAGAGGCATATCCTAGAAAAATACACTTATGTGCCTTAGGTTCAAATTTGTGTCTTTGTGTTTTAAATTTCCTTTAGGCATTGGAAGTCAGTTGGGTAATGCCAAATTCTGTGAAGGATCTGCTGTTTTGTTGGAAAATTGAGGGTCTCAACAAGAAAGGAACCTTGGTTTGGAAAATTATTCCGGCTGCAATGCTTTGGACTATCTGGATTGAAAGAAATAACATAATTTTTTAGGGCAAAGCTAAATCTCTAGAGGAAATGGTGCAGAAAGATGTGGGTAAACTACTGTCTTGGGTGTTGGCAATAGAGGAATTTAAAAATCAGAATTTGAGATTGTTGTTTAGTTCTCAGACTTGGATGCATTTGTAACCTGAGGTGGCTCTAGGCAGCCTTTACTGGCCTAGGCTCCTTTGTACTGTTATTTGATTTAATAAAATACCTTACCTTTTATAGAAAAAAAAAATGGTTATGAACATGTACATAGCACCCAAAAACTCAAAGAGGAAGAGAAAAAAAATCCTCATCTGGAAAGAGAAGGCTAAATGGAGTTTTGAAACCCAGAAGCTGGGAAGGCATACGGTTAATCAAAAAGGTAGCAGTAAGGACAACATCTCCCCAAAATTTAATAGGAACTTGAGATGCAAAAGGGAGGAATCTAGCAACCTCAACCACATGGCGGTTCTTCCTTTCTGCCACTCCATTCAGCTGTGGAGTGTAGGAACAAGAACTCTAATGAATAACTTCAAAAGTCTCAAAGTAGGATGAAAGGTTCTTCTCAAAATATTCCTTAGCATCATCAGAAGAGAATATTTTGATCCAAGTGTTAAATTGGATAAGGATAAGTTCATGAAATTTCCGCACAATAGTCAGTACTTCATCCCAAGATCTCATGAGATAAATCCAAGTGTAACGATAATAATCATCAATAAAAATGATAAAGTACTTGTAACCCCCCATAGTAGACAAATGACATGGCCCTCACACATTAGAGTGCACAATATGAAAAGGAGAAATAGATCTTTTATTGCTTACTGAATAAGAATATCTACAATGCTTTGCAAGTTCACAAGATTCACAATGAAGACTCGATAAAAATACTCCCTTAAACATATCGGGAAACAAATGACTCGAAGCAGAAAATGGCAAATGACCAAACAGGACTCTATTAATAGACTTTGACAAAACAGACTCCAAAGATACTCCATGAGGTGGTCCAAAACTCCTATTAGGTGTGTCCAGCAAGTATATTCCATCAGCCTCATGGCCACTCCCAATCATCCTCTGAGATTTTAGGTCTTAAAAAACATAATGGGTAGGAAAAAAGGTTATGCTACAGTTCATGGATTTAGTTAAGTTGCTCACAGATAAAAGATTGGTATTAAGTTTGGGGAAATGAAGGACAAAGGATAAAACAAGGGTGTCAGAGGTCTTGATATCCCCCTTGCTAGAGATGAGAGCACGAGACCCATCAACAAGAGATATTTTTTCTTTACCATAGAGGAGATGATATGAACAAAAAAGGTTAGACAAACTGGTCATATGGTCTGATGCACCAGAATCAATAATCCAAGGGATTTTATGATTACCTGAAACAGAAGCATAATTTGCAGAAGCACGAATACTTGAGTGACAAATGCGGATGATGATGTGTTGCCTGAAGATTAGGATGTTAAGACAGTGGTTTCCAAGTGATTCAATAACCTTCCATACTTTTCAAACTCTACTTTCACTGCTGCCAACTGTTCCATTGCTGACTTTTCTTCACTCTCCTTCTCCTTATTCCTTCCTTCAGGCACTGTGGCAACAATAGCAATCTTAGGCTTTCTTGTCTGGCCATTCTTCTTAAAATTGTTGTTATTCCTAAACCTGTCCGGGAGAAGATCTAGATGAAGCTTCCAGCAAGTGTCCTTAGTATGCCTCGATTTCTTGTAGTATTCACATATCACCTCTTTCTTCTCAATCGAACCCTTTGGCTTTATTCCATCATAAAGAGAGATACACAATAAAGTCTTCCAACAAAGAAGCGTGAAATGCAGCCTCGAAATAAAAAAAAAAATACAATTGAACCCAAAATAATTGATTCTTATGCACCCCTTGCTTAGCTAAAAAATTTGCCAACCCATTTGCCGATCTCCTTTCCCATTGAAAACTAATTGTTATATTCATCGTTAGCCACTTGAATCTTCGCAAGGCCCCCTAAATCAGCTAGGGAATTGGCCAACCTGGGAATCCACCTAATGAGCAGTTCAGGCTTCTCCCAAAGGAAGAGGCTTCCCTAACCAATGATCTGAACCTCCATGGTGGGTCCTCTCCGAAGTAAGCCAAGAAATAACCACTTGGAAACCCCCTTCTGTGATCACATCCCTCCAATTTTGTAATGCCAGCAGCTTGAGACCTTGAATTAGGGTCATCATCTTTTTTTTTTATTGGATACAATAACTCTTATTCAGTAGTTCATAAAATATTACACATCAGACACTCCAAATGAGGAGTGCTGACCCCACAAAGTAATTCACTATTACAAACAGCCCCTGAATTGGGGCCATCATTTCTGCTTTCAAAGAGTTACCAAAACCAATGGCTCCAAAAAACTTAATATAATGTTTCCTCCCTTTTCTGATCAGCAATAAAGAAGTAATTCATTCTTTAAATTTAAGAAAAATACAGCAAGAGGTTGTGGATACAAAAGAAAACATACACATTATAGATACAACCCATCATCCCTTTTTTCATTTGAGCCCAAAACATTTGCTGTCTATTCACCCCTTGTTTAGCCGAAAATTTGCAGACCTACATACCCACCTGATTTGTAATTGCATATCTTTTGAAAACCATCTGAACCATCAAAGCGCATTCCTGAAATTCCACACCACATTCTCAACTGCCATTTCCTTAGGTAGCCTAAACAGAAGACTTTCATAGGTAGCCTAAACAGCCTATAATCTTCCAACCTTTCAACCCCCTTCAATGTTTCCTCCATCATCCCTAACCACCCCTCCCACACCAAACTCGCATAAGTAGCCTAAACAGTAACCAAGTATCAGTTGAAAACAGCCCTCTTGAAGTACAGAACTGCTTGAGATTATATGCAAAACCAGAAAACAAGCAAGAGAAGATTAAGAAGAAGAGAGAGAGAGAGAGCTGGTGGCAATGAGAGTTAGAGAGTGAGAGGTTCGAACTAAACYTCCCTCTAACACTCTAAAACATTTTATTAAGTTAATCTTTGAATTATTACAGAGAGGCCCTTGGGTGGGCAAGAAATTACAAAAACAGAATATATAAGAGTATGGGCCCAGAATAAGGCCCATTACAGAGGAAAACATAGACATAACATAGAATGACAGCCTATGGACCTACAGTATCCATTCAACATTCTTCAAGTTATTGAAGCACCATCAACTGGAAGTAATTCCACTTCATAACCACAGATGCAATCAGTTATAGGCATTAAAAAGCAGGACCTGAATCTGGTACTGGCAATCTTGTCAACCAGACTGATACACCCAGGTTTCATCTTAGAACATCAACATCATTATCTTACTGATCTAAGAATTTTCTATGGTGAATTATTGAGAAAATCTTCCTCAGTTTTCTTTTAACCTAGTTGATCTCTAACTGGAAGTTTTCCTCTCCTGCAACCCATACTTCAACCATGGTTTGCAATATCAGCAGTATTTGGCAAGATATTCCCATTTCAATAGGGTGATATGAAAATATTCCAAGAATATTTTTTCCTTTGTATCTCTGATATATTGCTGATAAATCGGGGGTATTTGAATCTCATTGATAAATGTACATCTATCTAAGATTTAAATTTTCAAATATCGTCAAAACTTTCCAATACACAGTTGTTTGCTATGGTTTTTTGAGCCTTAAATGTGCACTTCTTCTAACAATCCATGAAGTTGCAATAACAAATTCCATGTTTTAGTAATTTTCCTAATTTCTTTATATTTCCAAATATCTTAGATAAATTAGTGAAATATCCTTAAATTTATCTACTTTTGCATGGAAAAATGACCATCAATATCGAAAATCATGAACCATGATTTCAACCAAGAATAAAATATAGTTTTAGTCTAATCAAATTTCAAGAAATTTAAGGAAGCTGTGAAGAAGTTCCTTTATGGAACCTAATGATGCATAAACAGCCTCATAATTTGCAACTTGTAACCCTATAAAGTTCAAGTTTATAGATTGGCAGAAGTTTTAGTTTTAAACCAGAAAACAGTTTTGTAGGTTAAAAAAGAAAATCCCTAATTATATATAGAATGACTATTAAAATGAAGTGGCATCACTCTATATATATTGATTGGTAAATGCTCAAGGGCTAATCACACTGAATGGTAAAACTTACTTACCATACATTAGTTTTGGGTTGACAGACCGTAGCTTATCAACAACTTTCAACACAGTCTCAAGAAAGGAGATTGAACCAATGTAACCTGCAATAACACATGTAAGAGTTCCAATCACATAGAACCTCCCAGAGAAAACAGGGATACATTTAAAACTATAATATAAATACCAGATTGAGAACAGAGATCCATAAAGAAATTGTTTTTTCATTCTGTGAGAAGAAAAAAAAAAGGATGCCCATATTTCCTTTCAAGCTTAGGAGAAAATTCCATAATAGCAATACTTTACATTTTCTTTTAAATTTTTTGAATGTTTTATAAGATATATCCTTGGTACATGGAAATGTTACCTCCAACATTTTTTTGGTAGGCAATGAAATCCATTCATTCATTAGAACTAAACATAATGTACAGAGAAATATACGAAGTGGTGAGAGCATAGGAGCTATCTCCCCCTTTTTATATTCAAATTCCAGATTACAAAACCACCCAAAATAATTGATTCCCGTTGAGAATGGCTAGACAGGGGTGTTTTTGGCTTTTTTCTTCTTTCTTATACTCTCTCAATATCTGGGCACCCATATAAGGGCCTTCTTGTAATTATTATTTTCTCAAATTATAAAGTAATCTTTTGAGGGTGGAACAGTGAACAACACACACCTCTCGACACTTGCTCTCTTCTTCCTCTTCTTCTTATTCTCTTCTCTTCTCTTCTTCCTCTCTCTTGAAACCCTAGTTTCTACAACTTGGTATCAGAGCGGGTAGAAGCATCTGGGAGTTGTTCTCTGCTGATCTCCTACCCAGAGGCAAACTGCTGACGTCAGACCACCACTAGATGACGTCAGCAGTCCGTACAAGTGCCGGTGGCAGTCTATGAGACCAGCACAGTTTGATTCGCCCTAATTTTAGAAAAATTTTGGTACGACTCTTGTCATCATATGAAGCTTCTATGATTTTTGGTGGATTTTTTAATGAAAAAATCGCAAAAATTCCAGATCTGATGTAAAGCCATGTACAGCAGGTTTAATGATATTTTTCTGCTGTGAAACCTAGACCATTCAGGTTGTTTTTCAATTTGGGATTGACGGGAAGTGGTTCCGTAATTTTCTGAGCACTGTGTATTTTTGGGAGATTTTTTTCTTCTTATATTTTACCTCCAACCTAGTTTTTTCGGGCTTCCTTTGGTTCTTAACCGTGTGGTAACCTGGTTTTTGGATCTGGAACCTCGGTTAAAGTGTTGGGGGTCCTTTTTGGTTGGTGAAAAGGTGTCTTGTTAGAATATGGAATCATCTAAGGATTTTCAGATGGTTCCGGCATGCTCCTGAGAACTGCAAGTATTTCCAGTGGTATGATAACTACTGTTAAACTGGATGGAACTAATTTTTTAGAGTGGTCTCAGTCTGCTAAGCTTACCATTACTGGGAGGGGTAAACTGGGATTCATCACAAGAAGGGAAGTAAAGTCGAGTCCTAAAGACCCGAAATTTGTAAGGTGGGAACAAGACAACTCCCTTGTTATGTCATGGCTGATTTGCTCAATGCAACCTCATATTGCCCGAAATTACATGTTTCTTCCATATGCCAAGGATATCTGGAATGGGGTGGTTGCTACTTATTCCCAAGTTAACAATACTGCCAGAGTGGATCAACGGAGGGAAGCTTGCAATATGCGTCAAGGGGAGAGATTTGTTGCTACGTATTTCTCTTCTCTACAGTCTATATGGGAAGAAATGGATCACTTGAAATCTCTAGTTTGGAAGGACCCTAAAGATGGTGAGCAATATTGAAAGTACATAGAGGAGAATAGAGTCTTTGATTTTTTGGCAGGCTTAAACCCAGAGTTTGATTTCACCAGGCAACACATTCTTAGTGCAGGCGTTGTCTCTCTTGCTACTGCTTACTCTCTTGTACAAGGGGAAGAAAGTCGAAGAACCGCCATGATGCAATCCTCTGTGAGTGATCATTCTGCCTTTATATCATCACGACCCAAGCAAAATACTAGCAAACATCCCATTGTAGAGAAGGTCGAGGATGTTATTTGTGAGTACTGCAAGAAGCCAAGACACACTAAAGAAAGGTGTTGGAAGCTCAATCCTCATCTAAAGCCGGAGAAGTACAAAACCGGGAAGAAGGGCAATGCTCACTTGGCTACAATTGGTAATGATGCTCAACCCTTGGATGTGCTTGACTCCTCTAATGTGATGGACAAACTCAGGAATATATTGTTGCAGTTAGAGAAGGGTGGTACATCCTCCTCATCTGGTTCTAGACTTAGTAATCTATCTAGTTCATATGCCAAGATAGGTACTGCACTTGCTTGTTCCACCTCCTTTAGCCCATGGGTTGTAGACTCTAGGGCCAGTGCCCATATGACTGGTATGCCTTCACATTTTACCTCATATAAGTTAACCCTGGGGAAGGGCAAGATTACTGTTGCTGATGGATCTCAGACCCCAATCTCGGGTTAGGGTGAAGTCAGAATCACTAATAACCTTTCTCTTGACTCTGTTCTACATGTGCCCCAGCTACAAAAAAAATTTATTGTCTGTTAGTTCTCTAACAAAATCCCACAATTGCTCAATGACCTTTTTTTCCAACCATTGTGTTTTTCAGGACCTGAGCATGGGGAAGACGATTGGAAGTGGGCATGAAGTGGGTGGAGTCTACCTCCTGGATGGACCTTCAGAGCATGGATTGTCAAGCCAAACTGAGTCTTATTCCAATGAGAAAATGAGTCTTTTGAAATTATGGCATCGTCGCCTTGGTCATATGTCTATCAATTCTGTCAAGTTTTTGTTTCCAAACTTGTTTGATTCTGTGTCCAAATTGAATTTTGAATGTTAAGTTTGTCATTTATCCAAACAATGTAGAAACACATATTTTGCAAGCAATAAAAGAAGTAATGTTGCTTTCCACTTGATCCATACTAATGTTTGGGGCCCATATGTTGTCCCCTGTAGGGGGGGTACAGATATTTCATTCTCTTCATTGATGACTATAGTCGGTATACATGGCTTTATTTGATGAAAATTAGAGATGAAGTTCCTATGATTTTTCAAAACTTCATGAATATGGTTGAGACACAAATTGAGAAAAGAGTTAAGGTAATAAGATCTAACAATGCCAAGGAATACTTTGAACATCATTTGCATAGATTTCTTGAAGACAGGGGCACTATTCACCAAAGTTCATGTAGTCATACTCCACAACAAAATGGGGTGGCTGAAAGAAAAAATAGGCATGTGGTTGAAGTTGCTCGAAGCTTATTCTTCCAAACTCATGTTCCAACTCGTTTCTGGGGTGATGCTATTGAGACAGTTGTATATCTCATTAACAAGCTCCCATCAAGGGTCCTTAACTTTCATTATCCTCATCAACTACTCTTCCCTAATGAACCTCTAAATCTACCCCTTAAGGTCTTTGGTTGTGTTTATTTTGTTCATGATATGAGTCCTTCCCGGCGCAAGTTTGATCCTAAATCAGTTAAGTGTGTATTCCGTGGTTACTCTCCAGTCCAAAAAGGCTATAGATGCTTTGATGCTCTCTCTAGCAAGAGATATGTCTCTAAGGATGTTACCTTTTTGGAATCCTCTTCCTTTTTCCAATCACCCAGTCCTTCTCTTCAGGGGGAGAATGCAAGTGAAGATCGAACTCCCTTCTGCCTTCCTATTCCTACCTCTGTTCTTCCCTCTCTTCCTACCTCTATTCCTTTTCCTCCTTCTCCTCCTTCTCCTCCTCTTGTGTATCGACCTCGGTCCTGGCAGCAATTTTTCATCAGGCGTAGTAAGAGGGTGGCTCCTGAAGCAGAATGCCCATCACTATCTGATTCCCCAAACTCAGGTAATCTTGAACCTCCTGACAATCCTATTATTGATTCTAACCTTGATCTTCCTATTGCCATTCGAAAAGGAAAGAGGACATGTAGCAAGTATCCTATCACTAACTATGTGTCTTATGATGCTCTTTCACCTTCCTATTGTGCCTATATTTCTGCTATCTCTTCCGTTTCCTCCCCCCGCAGTGTTACAGAGGCAATGCATTGCCCCCATTCGAAGGAAGCTATGAACCAAGAAATGGAGGCCCTAATGAAGAACCAGACTTGGGAGGTTGTTCCCAAAGATAAGATTCTTGTTGGGTGTAAGTGGGTTTATATTGTTAATCACAAGGCAGATGGCTCAATTGAAAGATATAAAGCTCGGCTTGTAGCCAAAGGATACACTCAGACTTATGGCATTGATTATCTGGAAACCTTTGCTCCAATTGCTAAAATGAACTCTATTCGTGTGATCATGTCTCTTGCTGCCGACTACCCGTGGCCTTTATATCAAATGGATGTAAAGAATGCCTTCCTTAATGGGGACTTACAAGAGGAAGTGTATATGGACTTACCACCTGGGTAAGTTTTCCTAACAGTAATGGAAAAGTGTGCCGCTTGAAGAAGTTTTTGTATGGGCTAAAACAATCTCCAAGAGAATGGTTTGACAGGTTCAGGAATTTCATCTTAAAGATTGGTTTTTCTCAATCTCAGGCTAACTACACCTTATTTATTAGAAGAGTTGATGGTAGAGTAACAATGTTGATAGTATATGTTGATGACATTGTTGTGACAGGTGATGATATCACACTCAGTTAAAGTCATTCCTTGCTTCTGAATTTGAGATTAAGAACCTTGGTGATCTTCGATACTTTCTTGGCATTGAAGTTGCAAGATCCAAGAAGGGGATTTTTTCTGTCACAAAGGAAATATGTACTTGATTTGCTTCATGAGGTTGGGAAATTAGGGTGTAAGCTTGTAGAAACACCAATTGATCCCAACCACAAGTTGAACTCTACTAAAGAAGAAGTTCTTCCAGACAGAAGGATATATCAAAGATTGGTGGGATGCCTTCTGTATCTTTGTTTGACTAGACTTGACATTTCCTATGTTGTTGGAGTGGTTAACCAAATATATGCATGAACCAAGGACATTTCATATGCAGGCAGTTAATAGAATTTTAGCCTAGCTGAAAGGATGCCCTGGCAAAGGGATGTTGTATTCCAACCACGGCCATCTAAAGATTGAGGCTTACACAGATGCTGATTGGGCAGGGTTCATCGATGATAGAAGATCTACATCCGGTTATTGTGCCTCAGTTGGAAGCAATGTGGTTTCCTAGAGAAGTAAGAAACAATCTGTGGTTGCTCGTTCTAGTGCTGAGGTAGGGTACAGGGCAATGGCTCATGGAGTGTCTGAACTACTCTGGTTGAAGACCTTATTGACTGAGATGGGCATCCAAGCAGATGTTCCAATGAGACTATATTGTGACAACCAAGCAGCCATAAATATTGCTCACAATCCTGTCCAACATGGTCGTACAAAGCATATTGAGGTGGATAGACACTTTACTAGAGAAAGAATTGCTAGCGAAGAGATTTGCCTTCCTTTTGTAAGGTTAGAAAACCAACTAGCTGATTGCCTCACTAAAAGTGTTCACCATCCAAAGTTTGCTAAGAACCTTGCCAAGCTGTGCATGATTGACATATATGTTCAGCTTGAGGGGGGTGTTGAGAATGGCTAGACAGGGGTGTTTTTGTTTTTTTTCTTCTTATACTCTCTCAGTATTTGGGCACCCATATAGGGGCCTTCTTGTAATTATTATTTTCTCAAATTATCAAGTAATCGTTTGAGGGTGTGAACAGTGAACAACACACACCTCTCGGCACTTGCTCTCTTCTTTCTCTTCTTCTTCTTTTCCTCTTCTCTTCTTCCTCTCTCTTGAAACCCTAGTTTCTACAACTTAAGTGCCCCTTGCTTAGCTGAAGTATCAGCCATGTTATTTGCTAATATCTGCACCCACTGAATGTTTCTTCCAACATTAGATATTTTTTTTGACATAAGAGTCTTTTCTTGATATGATCTTGGTCTAAAAATATCTTAGATGTGAATATCCAATGATGAGAGGTGTGTGTACATGTGTGTGTTAATTATAGAAAGTATAAAATAATAAAATTAATCAACTCGAATAGCAGGTCTCTGTGGGACTGGGGCCTGGGCTAGCTAGGAGACTAGGATTGCATGGATCTTCCTCAAAAGCTACAGCAGTAATATTTTGGGTGTTTAGTGGACCCAATGACGATGCAAAACTCCACAAAGCAAAAGCATTGGCAGTTCTTGGGGCACAAATTTCTAAGGGGTCTTAACACAGTTGAAGGGGATTCCACCAATATATTAGATGGAAAGGTTGAGTCAAGGTCCATGATGATTTGCTCCCTATTTTAATGGGAAAAAAAGGAACTAGGTAAAATAATAGATTGAGTTTAGTGATAAAAGAGAGCAGGTCAAATTGATGTTTCTTATTCTTGTGGATGCCTGAAACTATGGATGCATCAGTGGAAAGCCAAATTGATGTGATTCAAGTTGATGTGAAACACGTGTGAAACAGGATGGATGAGAGCATGAAAGTTTTGAATGCAAGTTTAGTTGGAACGTTTGTAAGTGTTGATCTGGAAGTAGAGGGGGTTGAAGCTTGGGTGTTTTTTGAATGGGGTAAGAAAAGAGTTATGGGAGTGTGGAAGTTGAATGGGGAGTTCTATCTGTTCATATTCCATAATTGAGATGGAGAACATTGGGTTCTGCAGAAAAAGAGAAAAATAGAAAGTGTGATTTGAGAGTAGGTAGGTGGTTTCTGGTTTCCAGCAGCAGGAGTGATCTATGACAGAAGGGAAGGAGAGTAATTTGGATTTGGGTGGTGGGTATTCCTCTTTATGTTTCGTGCTTGCTTACTTTCAGAGAGATTGGGAATTGCTGTGGAAAGTTTCTCAAATACGACAACAAAAATAGGACATAGGATAGGGTGGATGTTGCAAAATTACTGGTGGATGTTGACAATGTGTCTTCAGTTACAAATACTTTGGAACTTGATTTTGTAGGTGAGAGGTGAGAATTTTTATTGATGGGGAGGATCAACGTTTTGAAGGTGGCTAGTGAACTAGAGAGGAGAGGCATTGATCTGGAACAGAGAGGATCAAATGTTTTGAGGGCGGATAGTGAACCAGAGAGCAGAGGCATTGATCTGGAAGAGACAAAGGTGGAAGGTAAGGTGAAAGTCTAGACCCACAGTTCTGAGAGTGACAAGAAGGTGAAAAGTTGCTTAGAGGTGGAAGATGATGACTTGGTGAGGTCAGGAGGCAAAGATATAATTTTGGAGGATGAGAGTGTGATACAGTAGGGCTGGAACAAACTAACACAAGATAGAAAGAGAGAGGAAGAGAGAGTAAAACAGGTAGAGAAAGAGAAAAGAGAGAAATCCCAAGGAATCACTCCAAGGAGTCCTAGAATCACTCTAGGGTTTGTAGGAATCACTCCATACAGCAAGAGAGCTCTTAAGAAATCTGCATTCATTCATTAGCCTCAAAAGGAAGAGAATACATCTATTTATAGAGTGTCAGAGTGAATTGTGTGGCCCGGAACAATGTTCACCATAATTACAAAAAGTGCCATTCTTTGTCTTGTGCATCAAGAAACACAATAACTTTCTATCTACTAATGCAAATAAACTGAAAATTGAAAGACAATCACTACTAAGCTATAGGAACAAGATGTTAAAGCCCAAGTCCACATTGGGCTGGTCAAAATGACGAAAAAAACCCTGACCAGATCAGTCCAAGTCCCAAGAGTCTTCTCCATGCCAAATCAGAACCTGTTTGTTGGCCTTCTTCTTACAAGAATAGGCCTTATAATGCATGGACCGATCCCCATCATCTCTCCCCGGCTTGAAAGAACTCGACCCTGGCGAGTTAAAGGCATGATATTGCTCATAAAGTTCTGGATTAAGATGATACAAATCTTCAGCTGTAATCCATGAACATTCTGAAAGAGGTAGATTCTTCCACTTTACAAGAAACTTTTGATAACCCCCACTTTTTGTAGACACCAACTTCTCACCAAGGATGTCTTCAGGCACATTAGTAGGTGGAACCAAAGGTAGCTTAGGCAGTGGGACTATGGGACAATCACTATGGCCATGATATGCACTTAGGTCTTCAACATTGAAGATTGGGCTAATTCCCATTTTGCTTGGTAGCTCTAGGACATAAGCATTAGAACTGATTTTCTTAGTGATCTTATATAGACCTGCACTCTTGGAGTGAAGCTTCTTATAAAAGCCCTTAGGAAAGCACTCAAGACGTATACGCACCATAACCATTATTACCCTCCTGAAAATCAGCTAGGCGCCTATGTAAATCAGCTTTGGCTTTGTATGCATCATTGCTAAGAGCAATCTTGTGCCTAACTTCATCATGGATTTCTCTCATGTGGCAAGCAAAGCCTTCAACCTCTATGCTAGTCCTGGCTTCTTGTGGCAAAGACACTAAATCAATAGGCCTCTTAGGCTGAATTCTAGTAACTATCTCAAAGGGACTTCTTCCAGTTGACCTGTTAACTGAACTGTTGTAAGCAAGTTCAGCCATACGTATATGATGAGATCCCACCTGGAAGTATGGTCACCAACTAAGCAACGTAGCAAATCACCTAGGCTCCTATTAACTACCTCAGTTTGGCCATCAGTTTGAGGATGGAAAGAAGATGAGAACTTCAGCTTTGTATTGAGGAGTTTCCAAAGTGTCTTCCAAAAGTAACTCATAAACTTAGCATCAAGATCAGAAACAATAGTAATTGGAACACCATGTAAATGAACAATTTCCCTAAAGAATAGGATTGCCACATGTGAGGCATCTGATGTCTTATTGCAAGGAATAAAGTGGGCCCTTTTTTGAGAACCTATCTACCACAACATAAATTGAATCATGACCCCTTAATGTCTTGGGCAGACCTAGGACAAAATCCATTGAGAGATCTTGCCAAGGCTCATGTGGAATTGGTAAAGGGGTGTACAACCCTGTATTTTTCTTTCTCCCTTTTGCCAATTGACAAATTCTGCACTGTTTGATCACACGATCAACATCAACCTTAAGGCTAGGCCAATTAAAGCGATCATCTACCATAGCAATGGTCTTGTCCCGACCAAAATGCCCAGCAATTCCACCTGCATGTAACTCCCATATAACATAATCACGTAGTGAGGTGTTAGGAACACACAAGCAAGTTCCCTTGAACAAATAACCATCATGGATAGAAAAACCAGGATATTCGGATTGTTGTCCAGCTTGTAAAGAACCATAAATGATGCTGAAATCCTTGCAACCATCATAATCTTGCTTCAAATGATCGAACCCTACAACCTGTACATACATAGAATGAAGTGTATACACCACTCAGCTTAATGCATCGGCTACTCGTTCTCAGCACCAGCTGTATGCTTAATCACAAAGTTATATTATGCTAAAAATTCAGCCCATTTCTAATGTCGACTACTAAGATGCTTCTGAGATTTTAGATATTTGAGTGCCTCATGATCTGAGTACAAAACAAACTCTTGGGAAATTAAATAATGACGCCAATGTCGAAGACATTGCACCACAACATAGAATTCTTTGTCATATGTGGAGTACTTTTGTCTAGCTTCATTAAGTTTTTCACTGTGAAAAGCTATAGGATGCCCTTCTTGCATAAGCACACCACCTATTCCAACTTGGGAAGAATTACAAAACACCTCAAAGATTTTTGAAAAGTTGGGCAAATGTAACACTGGGGTCTCAGTCATCCTTTGATTGATAGTCTCAAAGGCTTTAGTTGCGGCCTTGGACCAAACAAATTCCCCCTTTTTCATAGCTTCTGTAATTGGTGCCATAATAGTGTTGAAATTCCTTATGAAACACCTATAAAAAGTAGCCAATCCATGAAAGCTTCTCACTTCATGGATGTTAGTCGGAGTGGGCCACTCAAGTATAGCTTTCACCTTGTCAGGATTAGCCTTGACAGAGGATATAACAAATCCTAAAAAGATAACAGTAGGTGTCATAAAAGAGCACTTCTTTAAGTTGATGTAGAGCTTTTCCCGGCGTAAAACTCTCATCACTTGACGTAAATGGTCAAGATGATCATCAGGAGTATGACTGTATATAAGAATGTCATCAAAGTAAACAACCAAGAAACGACCAATAAAAGGACGAAGTACTTGAGTCATAACTCTCATGAAAGTGCTAGGAGCATTAGTTAAGCCAAAAGGCATAACCAGCAACTCATAGAAGCCATCCTTTGTCTTAAAAGTGGTTTTCCATTCATCTCCAAGTCGAATCCTAATTTGGTGATATTTGCTTCTAAGATCAATCTTAGAGAAAATCGTAGCCCAGCTCATCATATCCAGCATGTCATCTAAGCGTTGAATAGGGAACCAGTACTTGATTGTAATCTTGTTGATTGCTCTGCTATCAATGCACATCCTCCATGAGCCATCCTTCTTGGGAGTGAGTAGAGCCGGTACAGCACATGGGCTGAGACTCTAATGAAGCCTTTCTTCAATAGATCATCCACTTGCCTCTTCAACTCAGCATGTTCTATGGGATTCATCTAGTGTGTAGGCAAATTAGGTAGTTGAGCCCCGGGAATCAAGTCTATTGCATGTTGGACATCAGGTAGAGGTGGTAATTCATTAGGCAAATTTTCTGGGATCAAATA